AGTTTAATATTATAGTGGATTACTAAATAACTGTGGTGAGAACTTTCTTAAGCATATAGAGCTCCCTACTATGAGTTCTGTAAGCAAGTTGTCCAGAAGACAGCATGACTGAGTAACAGTAGTGTGTAATTTTAAATATACTAACAAAAATAGATCAGCATTTTCACCAAACAACGGTTAATCCATTTTCTAACATGGTTAACAGTTAATTACAAATGACATGCCCAAAATACCCTGGTACGGCCGAGAGTGGGGAGAGTTCGCTCTCCCTCTCGAAACGCTCTCACATGACCACGTGCATACAGCCACTAACAGGGAATCCCTACTCACTGCCTGCTTGTGGCGGGGTGTTGTTCACGAAATTCAGAGGACAAAAAGCGAATTTCCACTACTTTCACCGGGTTGGTGGACACAGAGAGTTCACCTAGGAGAGTTGGAAAACACTGATTCCAAACTAATGCTCCACATGGGCTCCAGGATCCTGAGGGAACAATTAGCGTATGGACCAATCGTTGGTCACTGACTGCCATGGGACTGCATCTCCTTACGATGTTGCACTACCTTGTTGATCAGACCTTTAGGTCGAAGGCTCCGTGTGTGGCCCCCTAAGAAAACCACCTGTTTCGGTTTGGGAACCCGGACAGTATCCCGGCCCTCACACGAATCAATGAGATTTGTGTGGCACACATGTATCTGGTGCCCCCTTGTACCAATATCTATGTGTTCAAATACATAAATTGCGAATGGCACTGAATTATATCTATGGTATATCATTAAAGTTGGAAATACAGGTTGTTGGTTTAAAATCTGATCTTAATCTCATGTGTCATTGTCATACATATTCCTTAGGTATTATAAAACAAAAATATTTATAGTTATCTGACCATCAACTTATGATAATGAAAAGACTCTTGAAACTAAATGAATATTCATTCAAATCATTTAATTGGGTGATTAAGATTGGGAAAACCGAAGAATGTGAGTTGTATGCAAATGAACTTAATGTCTTGTTCGACCTTTTATAATTTTTTGGGAGAATATTTATATTGATTGTTTTAACATATTACTTTTAAGAAAACCTTCGTGGGTTGACCTCAGTTCACCTTTAACTAATCAATTGAATTCTTTTTTAGAAAATTTCTGTAAAAGGAATAAATTCCGTTTGAAATTTGGTGAATTATTATGGGTCATATTTTATCGATTTCAGTCATATTATATAATGTGCATTTTTAATGAACTTATATTAATGTATTTGAATTATTTATGGTCTATACAAAGAGAAAATGTTAGACAGTTCAATCACGAAAAGGAAACGATCTTTTTTCCTTAGAAAATATCTCACTTTTACCATTTTTTATGTTGTCCGTTTATTCCAAGTCAAATACCTGTTGAAAAATTGAACATTGACAATTTAGTTGTTCGGGGTTTTTTGACGGGCTTCAGTTGCATGCAAGAGGGGATCCGACCAAGAATTCCCAAGCTTTCTTATCAATCATACAATGGTTATTACAGATACAGAAACGAAAGTAGTATCCATTAATTAGGAAAATAAATTAATATTTTCAAAAAGATGATTTGGGTAACTATCATACTGACGACGGGAAATCAGTGATTTAAAAATAAAGAGCTTGCCAAAAGACCAACCTGGAAGATTCATGAATGTTTACTGTCAAAAATTCCTGGTATAGAATGAAACACATGTTCCATTCTCTATTGTGTTCAATAATGAACTAGCTAAAGTCAATCTATGATATCAAATATCTTCAGCTCGATATTTATTTATCAGGAAACTTCCATAAATTTTTTGTTCTAATGAAAGGAGTCATTTTTAGCCTTAAAAAACTCGACAGTCAGGCAACATAGTTATGGTAAGTGATGGTCATTATCGCGATACAATATGGCTACAAACAGGACAATTTTTACTAGTCATAAATTATAATTGGTTATGGTACGATAAGTCATTTGGTTAGCTTACTTGAAATTCAATTATCAATGTACAGGATAATTTATAAATCCAGAGTCAGAGTTAACGATATCAAAGGAAAGGGATATTAGTTACTAGACTGAATTTTTCACACATAACCAATGTAAGTAAAACAGAATTCAGATGCACAGTGAAACAGGATCATTAATATCATACAAGGAACAATGAAAAGAAATCAAACGGAAAAATTTTTCGAATGAGAGTTAAGAATAAAAAACACTGTATATCTAATCCTTCTTGAGCTTATAAAAAAGTAATGTGATGCAACAATCAGAATTTCGCTATGTTTTACTAAGGAGACACTTTATTCACATTACTATCAATTTGTGTCATTACCTAAGACTGAATTATAAAACAATATATGTTTCTAGAAGTGAAGAGTAATTATTGAACTCAAGTCAATCAGTAAAAGGTTTTTAACCCTACAAATTAAACTGACTTGAAGAGAATGCAAGAGAACAACTATCCAATAAACAATGATTATCATAAAGCTTGTACTCGTTGACATTGACCATCAAAATAGCTAATAACAATCACTAATCTACAGTAAATCAATTCGAACATGTGACTTAATTCTTCTTATTATTATTACTATTATGTAATCAAAGGACGTCACTGAATGTGTTGATTATTCTTTAGATTGGAATAGAATCTAAATATTACACTGGCAAAAATTAAATTACCATATAATATCATACAAATAGTTCCCTTTATCATTTTGAGAAGAGCAAGAACAAAGATTCTAGCAGAATAGCATGAATTCATTTTTATTTCGTAGGTTCTCGCCAGCTACTTACAACCTGTGATATTTAAAATTATAATTACACAATGGGTTTAAATTACTTACATGATAAGAACCTACGAAATAAAAATGAATTCATGCTATTCTGCTAGAATCTTTGTTCTTGCTCTTTTCAATACCATGTCATAGTTGATTGTTATCTGAAGCTAAATACTTTTAACAATCTACCTAAAATTTGTAAAAAAATTTCCTAAATTAATTGTAGCCTCATTTAAATGATAAACTTTTTTTCATTGGCTGATATCAATTAGGAAATTAATGAAGATCAAAAAAGAAAAAAATAGTTGATACATCAAGTTGAAAACTTATTATTATTATTATTATTATTATTATTATTATGAGAAAACTATGATAATTTTAGATTAGATCACATATAGCGCTCTCCCTAATGATTTGAAGTATTTTAGTTCAATCCCATGTGTTGTCGTGTACATACAGAATATAAAAAAAAGTAGTCAAATTTGTCATTGGTAATTGAGTTACAGTAAAATAAGTTGCATGACTTGTGCAACTAATAATCTAGTTTATAAATATTTTATCATCAATACAAAATCTAGCATAACTTCGCATCAGTCGAAGTTCCCGCACATCCTATCACCGTAAACAGAGAGATGAAGTTACTAATATGACAAGTGAAGGAAATTAATTAATTTCACCTGTAATGACAAACTAAATAAGAGAAACATAATTTAAAAAGAGCAAATGAGATTGAAGAAGAAATTATAAAGAACAATATCTAACTTGAGATTTAGACTATAATAAATAAATCTAACTGTTACTGCCACATACTTCACGTTCTATCACTTAAAGTTCGAAATGAACACGTGCGACAAATAAGAGTTGATATTCGTGAGAAAGAAGTTGTATGATGAACAACTTTTAAAAAGGGGTATGGTTATGTTTATGATCAAATTCTGTTTCATATTAATTGTAATCATTTTAGTAAAAGATATTAATGCATCAGTCATCATTGTATCCTATACAAAACACAAAACACTACATTTTGTACTTATTAATGTTATTCTGTGAGAAACGATTACAGATTCAAACAGTAAATAAACCGAAACAAACTAGAGATTTGTAGGATTCTGGTATTTCCGATTTCACAACAATAACAACGAAACAAGATAAAACCAATAGTAAAATAAAATTAATCATACAAGTAAAATAGCAGTGGAGAAAAACTTATTAAAAATGCAGTGATTACGACAAATTTCTTGTTCTTTCAAGATTATGATTGCCTTACATAGTTCAATTACTATAATCTGACTTAGTCAATATGATTTACATTACATTCAATTTACTGATGATGTGAGGTGATTAATTTCAATCTCACCTTATACATAGCTTTAAATGAATACCTATTCCATATAGTTAAATTGTAATTTAATCAAGTACATTGTTCAATATATTCAGTGCATTTATATTATCATGTAATTAAAAGATTATTAATTTTCAACAACAATACTTATTTTTAATAGATGAGATCATGAGTCAATTGAAGCTAGACCACCTTGGAAAACATGGGAGCACTGGATGTATCGCTCAATTTCGTGGATTAGTTGAAGTCAGACATTAACACAGTTGGATCCTGACAGGCTCAGTGGTCTAAAGGTTAAGCGCTCGTCCTGGGTTCGAGTCTCACGAGGCGGGATCGTGAATGCGCACTGCTGAGAAGCACCACATTGGGACGAAACGGCCATCCAGTGCTTCCAGGTATTCCATGGTGGTTTAGCTCCAACTGGCTCATGATCTCAACTATTAAAATGACTATAATATCCACAAAACCCCTTTTGATAACAATACTTATAACAAATACAGAGTATTAATTATTATTAACACTATATATTGAACAGTATCTATAACAATGTTTTACTAAGATTGTTGTGATAAAGTCAATGTATTGCTCAAAATCTGCACTCTGATTTGTAATGGTTCTACATTACAAGTTTTCTGTACAGTTTAGTTTGATTTATGTATATATATACAACTAATTGTTTCTACTAAATTTCATGGGATATAATTCAACATCAAATTGTATTTGACACATTCATCATGAATTAAGTACTTCATTAAGTAGTAAACACTAAACTACAGTTCTAAAGGATAATGATACCTGTACATACAATATACAAGCTCATACAGTTACATGTCGAAATAGATTTTTTTAATTTAATAAAAAAAAATTCATAAAGCAAAAAATGATATACTCACTGGATAAACTGTTCACAGATTGTCCATTAATCCATATTGATATGAATGAAGTTTCAATAGATAACAATAATAATAGTGGTAATAGTAATGAATAAATTAATCCAAATACACAATAATGAATTATAGATGAATATAATTTGTGTAACATTGTAAAATTGAATAAAAATGTTGAAAATTGAATCGTTTATACTTCATACGCTGAATAATAATAATAATAATAATAATAGTGATGAATGATGATAAGTGTTTGTTTGTTTGTTTGTTTGTTTGATTTAATTTTTGTTGGTAAAATAAAAAAAAAACTGTTTGTTGTTAATTGTGTTTCTCGTTGACCAACTCAATTAAAATTAATGATGTTCAAGCGTGAATTAATTAACAGTTAAATCCATTGGAAATATTTGAATGGTGCTGAAAATCAAAGTTAAAAAAACATTAATTTTGTAATGAAACAAGAAACACTATGAAACTGTACAATCATTTGTACAACAATACATATGTAACATGTACGTATGAAAAAGTGATGTATTGAATATATAAAAATAATTAAAATAGCAAATGTATTAGTTGAAGTTAGACATTAACACCGTGGAATCCCGGCTGGCTCAGTGGTCTAGTGGTTAAGCGCTCGCAAGCGAAACTGATAGGTCCTGGGTTCGAGCCTCGCGGGGAGGGATCGTGGATGCGCATTGCCGAGGAGTCCCACATTGGGACAAAACGGCCGTCCAGTGCTTCCAGGTTTTCCGTGTTGATCTAGCTTCAACCGACTCATGATCTCAATTAATGTCCACAAAACCCTTCTCTGATTAAAATGTATTAATGATATAATCGATTAACAGATTGTGATGGGCTAAAAGATACATCTATTGTTCAGTCATTCTAATCTCAGTAGACAGAATAGTGTTTGAATCTACAAACCAATGTTTCAAATGTTCAGTATTCAAAATAACTGAGTTATAATTTCACAAATGAACAAACAATAAAGAATAATATACAAGAATATGCATTGATGTGTGTAACTTTTTAAATTTAGACGCTAATACAAATATCAGTGACGTATTCTTTTAGTTGCCTAGAAAAATTAAAACGTTGAAATCGACAATTCGAAAAAGTTATTGAACTTTGTCAGTCACAGTTTTGCAAACAAAAGCTTCATTAGGTTAAAAAAATTTCACATGGCTCAGTAAAATACGAAATGATAGTTGTCTATTATTGTAAACATGTGACCCACTGAGGAATTATACCAGATTAAGATATCAGCAGAATTAATTTAAAATATACCCCAACATTTATTTGTTCAGTTGTTGGTTCAAATGTCCCTATATAAATATATATATATATATATATATATATATATATATATATATATATATATATATATATATATATGCTCCTCATATGATACTGCTGGAGATCTAGTCCATGAACGCCAGACTTAATAACAACAGAATTTGGATTTGTTATGCATAGAATCATATTCCCAACTTCGTCACTTTGGAATATTGCATGACCATCATCGTTTCTTATTGGTAATGTTTTTTTCACTCCTGATATGGTTTGAACATTAAAGTTCAATGAAGCAATATGATTCAATAACCAAATGAAGATATGTGTACCCAGACATGAGATCCGAAGCACACAAAGAGGTATTCTTAAACAGATTAGAAAACAAACTAAAGTCTGTTTTTCAAGTTCATATGAAAGGTTTAAGCGTTAATTAAATGATTACCAGACAATAAGAATATATATATATAAATATAAATGATGACGAATGACGAACGGATGATCGATACATTTTATTGAACAGCAACTTTAATATTTTGCAAATGAGAGTAGTTCAGAAAAGTATGTTTGTATAATTATGTGGATGTATGTGTGTGGATGAATGAGTGAGTGGGAAGATGTTTACAAATTCTTGTAGATATACACAATCAGTCTATTTTTAACTCAAAACTGTCAATCTTTAAAAAGCATAAAAGAATGTAGAAAATAAAGAAAAATGACAAAAATGTGTGTCGTATTTTATTAACTTAATGGTTACCATTTCTCATTGAGTATAATTGACTAGTGACATGTACACGTCATCAAATTAATTTTTATCTAAGCCATAATGAGAGATGAAAATCACACTATAGTGATAATGATAATACGTAAATTGATTGATTTGATTTATGAATTAAAAACATCGTCCTCATTGACAGAGTTCGATCTTCAGTGAATACAAATGAGAAGTTCCATGTCATCATAGTTTAACAAAAATATCATTAAAATATTTAAATTCTTTAGCATAGTCTATTACATAGTTACATTAAGTTTGACAAGAAAAAAAAGATACTGGTATTTTTCCTAATTAAATTATTGAAAATCAAGCACATCATAAATGATGAATCACTACTCTTTCGTCAGTTATCTTACATTTATTGACTGGTTATAGCCAGTCAAGTCGAAGACCTCTGTTTAGCAATCATTAAAATGTTTGTTTTTTAATCTCAGGATCTAGAAGGTTCTTCATGGAGCTTCGAAACGAGAAACATTTACTATCGAATACTTCTACTCCCATTAAATAGAAATTGTTAATTCGTACCATAATAATACAATGCTAGCTGAACTACAAAAATTAATAAAAAAACATCTATTTACTACAACCAATCGCAATAAACAATATGTGTTCTGTATTAGTACCAGAGAGTTAAAACAGATTTAGGAAATGGATATCAATACTAAAGTCCTCCCTAAACAAGCCTCATTATGATATACAATAATTAGAGTGCTATGATTTGATAGGTTGTTTTTTTCTTTATAATGGAATTAATATCTTTAGATTACTGATGAATAATTAAACGTTATTTGTTGTGAACAGTACATAAAGTTTTAGATAAATTCTTGGTATGTCAGAGTTGATCAAACAATTGACACGTGAATAATAATATAATAAATCCTCAGTAGCCCCCAAATGCCCTGGTACGGCCGAGAGTGGGGAGAGTCTGCTCTCCCTCTCGAAACGCTCTCACATGACCACGTGCATACAGCCACTAACAGGAAATCCCTACTCACTGCCTGCTTGTGGCGGGGTGTTGTTCACGAAATTCAGAGGACAAAAAGCGAATTTCCACTACTTTCACCGGGTTGGTGGACACAGAGAGTTCACCTAGGAGAGTTGGAAAACACTGATTCCAAACTAATGCTCCACATGGGCTCCAGGATCCTGAGGGAACAATTAGCGTATGGACCAATCGTTGGTCACCGACTGCCATGGGACTGCATCTCCTTACGATGTTGCACTACCTTGTTGATCAGACCTTTAGGTCGAAGGCTCCGTGTGTAGCCCCTAAGAAAACCACCTGTTTCGGTTTGGGACTCCGGACAGTATCCCGGCCCTCACACGAATCGAATGAGATTTGTGTGGCACACATGTATCTGGTGCCCCCTTGTACCAATATCTATGTGTTCAAATAAATAAATAAAACAATCCTCAATAAGTGTAATGATAAACTCAATATTTATGATGTTCGTTATCACTACACTATTGTTGATTTTCATTTGAATTTGGAATGAAAAATATAGTGTGAAATGACATTCAGTATGTTTTTGTCTTATTGAAAAAAATATGATGGAATAGTTCATTTGACGTGGTTACTTTTCAACACACCATATAAATAAATAACCCATAGTGTCACACTGAATAAGAAAAAGTTAATTCAGCGAAGAAAATTTTCTTTTCGACGAAATTATTTACATAAGCTGTACATTCACCTGAGCTACAAATCTTCACGATCTCAAGCTGTACATTTCTATTTATATAGTTATATATGGAAAATATGTCTGTAGAAGGATAGAAAAGATTACATCATAAATTGATTCGAGATTAAATATCAAATGAGGTTATATTTCTTCCTTACCCCTTGATTCGTAAGTAACCTCATTTGATAATAAGAGTTTCGAATCAATTTATGATGTAATCTATTCTATCCTTCTATAGATTTATATTTCCCATATACAAATGTACAACTTAAGTAAATGATTTCATCAAAAAGAAATTTTTCTGCTCTGGATTCTTTTTCTTATTCAATAAATAATTTTAATTTAGAATTTCAGATTTAAAACAAATTGCTGAGGAGTTCCATACAAGGACAAAATGGTCGTCCAATGCTTCCAGATTTTCCATAGTGGTCTAGTTTCAATAGACTGAACTCATATTATGTAAATAATAATTCATGTAAATGTTATCGTTTAAAAAGAAATTCATAATGAAATTAATGAGTCATCGAATATTTATAACTCAATTCTATATAGAAATAAATAAGTAGTAAGGTCATCATTGTAATATATTCAGTTCATTCATTGTTCAAGTAGATAAAACTAAATCTTAAAAGAAATTCATTGAAATTCTGACCTTATATAGTGAGAAAGACTGATAGGACCATTCCGATGTATATAATGAATGAGTGTACATGAGTGTAAATGACCAAGGTCAACACAGTTTATTTTTTTTTTCTAGCATTAATTGTTCAGACCAATTTATTGATTTATTCTGGAAATGAATGAAACCTTTATATGATGTACAAATGAATAATTACATGTGGGCTAAACTTGCCACTCAAAAATAAATTAGGCTGAGAGAAAAAAGATTTATAGAAGTCTAATTGTGATTCATTGCTATGTCTAACAACAAAGCAACCGGAAGTTGTAAAAGAAACATTTATGGGCATTGAAACAATAAACTATCTATTTATATTAGCCTTGAATTATCTATATCCTTAAATCTTACAAGACCATACAGTATGTAATTTAAATTAAATTGTATTTCTAATGCGGAATGATCAGGACTATTCGCTAGACAAATAGGTGTCACATAAATACACACACAAAAACACACAATAGAATGAACAAATTCAAACACATCATTAGGAATTGGACAAATATTTGAAAATTAAATATATTGGAAAACCATTCCCACCTTTCCAGAGTTTTTTTCAGCAATATATCCTTATGATGAAGAGCCTCACATCAGTGAAACTATATAGAAACCTTGACAAGTGAATAGAGAATTCGGTATTTCAAGCTAATGATTGGAACTATCTTACTACATGATTAAACTTACAAGGGATTTTTTTAAAAAAGGAATGGATTCATTAGAAGAAATACATCGATCTTTAGTTTATTAGTGAAAAGTATGTGCATATATGATCTACAGTTCTGACAACGCCCAAACTGGGAAAAATCCCTTGATTTACAGTATTTCACGGTAGAATAGCTCTACATGTAGTTTCAATAATCAAGTTGATTAGTCAAATATAGAACAATAGATCTCATCATAAACTAACTCCCTGTATCATACAGTATATGATAATAACATCTTATTTATAAATAGTAAGTAAATTTTCATCACTAACGCTTTATTTCAAGGAAAA